ATAGATAGATAGATAGATAGATAGATAGATAGATAGATAGATAGATACAACTATAGACATTCACCTGTCACCTATATCACTGCACCTGTAACTGTCCAGAGGGTTGAAGAATTATAACAGTGGCTCTCTTGCTGTCCTCAGAATGCAATAAAAAAGGTAAGATGGCAGCCACAACAGTGCAATAGAAGCTCTGCCTATTTTTTTTAAAGAGTATCACATGCCTTGCAGGCACTCTAGAATACAGGGCCAAGCTACAAAGACCAGAACAGCAACAAACATGGTGTGGATTCATGTTCTACATGGTGTTGGATCAAATTGCCCCATTATTTGTATAGCTCAGCTAGCATTTGAAGAATGCTTGATTATGGTGCGATAGAATTATTCTTGGGTTAATTTCAAGCCTAGAAAAATATCAAAAAGTTCAAGCAATTGTTCATGCATCCCTATATCCTTGAAAGTACAGTATGTCCAATGGCTTTTAGGAAAACTATTGCATTTGGATCGAAGCTTTTCTTTGAATAACATGGCACAACAGGCAGCAGCGCCTAACAATGTTGGCCAAATTGCTAACAAGTGGCCAGTCCATTGGAAGGAAATCCCAGGTATAATTTATCAAAAGAAATGGCAAAATATTTCCATATGCCAAAGGGAAAAAAACGTAACTGTATAGTCAAAAGGAGTAAGGTGTTCCTAAGAGAAACTTTAATTAATTATATAAAGATAAGGAAACATTTTAATTACACAATTCTCTTGAAAGAGGAGAAGTTAGCAGCTTTTGAGCATCCAGGCAAAACTGGGCATATTTCTGTCTTCATACAAGATTTTTAGCACTTTGCAATGGATTTTGCTTTCCACATTCAATGGCTCACCAGCATTTCTTAATTATTCTTCCTAAATGTTCAGATATGCTTTGCATGTGTTGGAAAAAAAAAACCCTCTGAGGCAGACCATTATTAAGAGGGGGCTGAAGCAGAAAGAATGAACAACTATCTACTCATTGCTTTTCCAACTGTGAACAACTGTCTGTTCAATGCTTTTCCAACTGCATTGAGATGAGAAGCTGTTCATGCCTTAGGATATAATCCAACATTTCTCATTCTGGACCTTTCCAGCATACATTAGATTTTGTCTCCTGTCATCCACAGACAGAATACTGGCTGAGATTAATAGAGTTTCAGTCTAACACTCTGGGAAGGAATCAAAATGAGAAAGCTTGAAGTTTAGAACTTAAGCCAAAACAATTAGCAGGCTTAATCCATTTATATTTTCAAAAAATATTTGAATTTATTTTACACGGTGTTTTTTTTTTTTTTCATTCATGCAATAAAACCAAAGAACACAATCCAGCCACACATGCATCCTCTAAAGATAATCCCATTGTATTATGCTGGCTGTTTACTCTTTAAAGTTTTAGTTATACATCTTGTACAAATTATGTGGGAGTTGAAACACCATGGGACATACATCCAGGCATTAATTATACAATAAGGCTGCTTGCTGGCTCATGTTTTTAAACAGCCGGTGGATTTATACATTATACTAGTCTTAACCAATGGTTTTATTATATGCAAGTATTTATAAAACATACACATGCACACCCATACTTTTGAAAGGGGAGTTTTGCTAGAGATAGCCTATTATCTTAACAGGAAATTTGTCTTTGGGCTTGGAACTTCTGATAGCAAGCTGAAGTCACGGCTGCTTATATCTTGTATTAATCCTAATATCACAATACTGACATCTCAAAATTCTCTTTCCTGTCTTCCAGCTAACTTGGCCAACAGACGGAAACTACACAGACATCACTGTTCCCACAGGAGATGCATGCCCCTTCATTCCAGAGTGCCCTTCCCTTGAGGTATTTCCCAAGGCTGGGACTAAATTTAGACAAGGAACAATCAACACCATGTGGTAATGAAACCAGGTGCCTTTAGGGTGCAGCCATCAAAAGTTGCTCCTCTCACGTTGCCACTTGGAAAGACTGGGTGGCTGGCTGGGTCAGCAGAATATTCCTCTTTGCAAATTACGTTTTCTGTTTTCAAAAGTTTGTGTGTACGGGTTGTGGGGGGGAGGACATATTTGATTGACCCCAAACCACAAACAATTTCCTTTGGGCTGCTCCCATTGTGTTTTTATTTGCTCTGAAAATAGAGTGAGGAAGAAGGAGTACTGGGGGTAGGGTGGGGATGGGAATAAACTAAAGGGAGGAATGAAACAATAAAAGTACTTGTTTTATGTGAACCCCTGGGCATGGTTCCAAATGATTGAGTCGCACTGGGCTCTCTGTCAATTATTTCACTCTCTGAAGCTGTACAGAGAAAGAGACTTATTCGAAACCCTGCTGAAGTTCTCTTCTCACCAAAGGCCAATATTTTCTCTTCCAATGAAACTACAACTATCTCATCTCCTGTTAATGCTGAAATACAAATTTCTCACATACTGGTTCATATGAGATTTTTAAATAATAGTATTGGTTTACATGGATATTGGACAAATGTTTGATTCCGGTCCACTTAGAGCAGGATTTGTATGTAACCATGTACAGATGAAACGCTACCCTGTTTCTCCAACATTACGGCCTCCCCCAAGAGGAAGTCCCAGCATGTTTTATAGGCATGAAATGAAATTAAGACCCTCCCCCCAAATTAAGGTCTATATTAAAACATGCGAAATGGGGGGGGCTTGCCGTTAGGAAGTACTTTTGTTGCACACCCGGATATGGTGCTGCCTGTGTTGACCCCGATATGAAGTTCCCCACCAATGCCGGGGTCAACATCCAAGCCATCGCCACCCGCCCACCCGAAAATGCAAGGGAGGGAAATTAAGTCACCCCCGAAAAGACGACCTAGCCATTTTTTCGGGGCTCAAAAAAAAATAAGACCCGGCCTTATTATATGAGAAACACAGTAGCTTCAGGCCATACAAATATAGCAGCCAATATTTCTAGCTACATACTTCATACAACCTCTGCAGTTTTAAAGGTCAACCTTATTAAATGATGTTTCTAAACAGATAGTAAATGAAAAATCAAAGGCAGGAGTAACTTTCTTTGCCTACTTGGTCAAGGGAATTGTATTTGGAGTTCGCTGTATCTGTCATGTATTGTTCCCACAGTTTTGGAAACAATAAATTTTGGGATGGAAAGCCTTATTTAAAATCTTCTCTTAAATCACTAAAGGAATCTTTATTCCTGGAATGCACCGGTGTTAACAAGCTAAGGAGTAAACTAATATTGTACTAGTTATTGAATGGCAATTTAACACATGAGCATGTTATTTAACAAATCGTGCAAAACAATATTGATGCTTCTTTTTATCCACTTCCTAGAGTTGTTATTTTCCCTAATTGTGTCCAAAGGCCTCAACGCATGGACCATGTTAATGAAAATACTGTTATAGCAAGTCCTTCATTTAATTATTTTCCTTATACTAGATTGTCAAAACAAAGTGACATATTTTTTTTTAAAGACTGGGAATCTTTGCTCTGTAGGTCTAAGCTCCCAGTCATTATGCTGATCGTGAAGGGATGTTGAAATTTGAAGTTCAGGAGCATCTGGATCATTACAGATTTTAGTTCCAAAAAAGCCAAAATTTGCTGATGTTCATCTATTCAACGTTTCAATTTTATGACAATGTCAGTAAGACTGAACCTATAGATCTGGATATGGCTATGAATTTAGCTAAGCGGTAGTTAAAGTTAAGGTCTAATCTAAGTCCCCAGAATAGACCTACATTTAATTTAGGTGTCAACTCTTTGTGTCCCGTGACAGCCATTCATGAGGCATTTTGTTCAGAGAGGTCACTGGCAAAAGCTGTTGCCATGAGGACCTAGGAGCACTTTAAATTTTAGATTGCATTCCAGCAATGTATAAGGCTAAACTCATGAACCCAGTTGGGGTCCTGCAGCTTAAATAATGGGAAGTGCAAAGAAGCAGGACTGCATTCTGTGACAGCATATATAAATGCAAACAGTCCAGAAGGATAGAATTAGGACATACTAGAGCAAGGATCAAAAGAATGCTAAGCTCTTTTCTCAAAGAAGCATCCCATTTACAGATGAATAAAACATGTGGTCAAACACTTTGCATCTAGAAACGTCTTTTGTTACGTGTAGGCAACTACACAGCCTTTGATACTCTAGCTGTAATAAACAATTTAAAAAAAAAAAAAATTACAGGGGTTGTAATCCTTGTCATTTCTCCTAAAGGCTCTTTAGAACCAGTAAGACCCACCTCTGAGTAGTTTTAAGTGGTTTTAAGTTATCTTTAAAGGAATGTTTGCTTTTTCTAAGCACTTAAAGCCAAACAAAAACCAAGCACTGAATTTAGCCAGTGCCTCTACTCCTTTGAATCCTGTCTGTCACAGGGTTGGGAGAAAATGGTATAGAAGAAACCTTTGCTCTGGTACCCCCTGAGTACATATGTGAGTTTCCATGGTTTGTTTGTTCATTTGTTTTTGTTTTTTTTCCTTATTTATTTGCTTTGCAGAACTAGTGAATCACTTTTCTGCCTTAGAATGGCAGCAAAATGATTCAAAACAACTTTAGCTCCTAGGTGTCATCTAGCAGTTGTGATATGGATTATTGAAGCCCAGATCTGGTAAAGCTGCTTCTTGTATCATACTGGTTCAATAGCAAGTAATCTGGGGTACTACAGAAGTTGCTGAACTACAGTTTGTAGCAGCTCCAGCCAGGGTTGTCCATGATGAAGAAACGGACTCTGTTCTTAAGTCCAGGGTTTGTTCATTGAGAAAAATCACGGTGAGATCACAAAACATGCTATGCCATCAATGTTTCACTAGCCCTACCCAAGCAGGTCAGATAATTGATTCACTTTTCGTATACCCTATTAACTGATACAATATAAATGTTTAGATTAAGGCAGGCAGGGGATATTTCTTCTGTTCCAAAGCAAACCCCAGTGGGAGCTTTTTCCATAAGGAAGTAAAACATAAATACCTTATTAAACAAAAAATAATAATTTATCATATGTAAATGTTTGTTCATCATGTCCCATAGTAGGAATAAGACATATATTTCAAAGCTGTCCATTACTTTTTCCATGATCCAGTTTAGTTAGACCATTAGAGTTTAAATGATAGGAGATCAAACAAAGCAATTAGGGTTTAGGCTTATCTTAGGGTTAAATTCAACTCGTGGCAGATTAGGAGACTGATGGTGTCAGCAGAAGAATATCTAGCCGAAGGAATTGCATGTCTGTTCACTCACCACATAAAATGTAGTCACTTTGTGGAATTTTGATGGAAGGAGCCATTCCGCAAAAGTGATTCAATCATCTCTTTCCTGCACATCCAGCACTTCCTGAAGTTCTTAATGTGCATTGAAATATAATGCATGTGAGTTACTGTTGAAGACCTGGGTGATAAAAATGCACTTAGATGATTTCTCCCTCTTCCCTACATACCCATTTATAGAACAGCTATTTGTAAAACTCAAAGCTATTTTGTAGCTAGTTCCATTTATGGAGCCGCTTGCCTGTAACAAGAGGCAGGGGAAGAGAAGCGCATGCTCTTAACTATCGCTTTGTATGTGGCACATCAACTGAAGGATTTAATAGAGTCAGTGTTTCTAATTTATTTCTAAACTTTCTAGGTTGTAAACCAGTGAAAGGCAGCCTTAGATTCTACAGCTAGTTATGGCTTGATCCCTGTTTTGATGGGTCTAGGACAACTTGCTGCAATCAACTCACCACAGCCAACTCACTGTAGCCAACTTTGCCGTGGGAACAAGAGTAACACTAATGCTAAATGGTGGGATCAAATCATTAAAGAACGCAAAGGAGGGACAAAATGAAATGCGAAGGACAAAAATTAAACTAATTTCTTGATTATTTTAAATAACTAAATTGAATTGTTGAGCTGTCCCATGGCAAGTTGGCCATGATGAGTTGTCTGTGGCCAGTTGTCCCAATCCATGGTTTGGTAGCCCTTGGATTCTCTCATTGAAATTCCAAGTTGTAACTAAACCATATACAGCAAGGAGATGAGTTGAATTTGGAATCACTTGTAGACCCTAGAACAGAAAATAATAGGAGCTGTAGAGGTCCTATAGTCCAACTCTGTGCCGATGGCAGGAGATCGTATACCATTCCAGACAAATAGTTGTCCAGTCTCATCTTGGAACTACACCTACACAAGTTCTAGACACAAACTATTCTACTGGTTAATTGTTGTCACTATCAGGGAATTTCTCCTTAGTTCTAGGTTAGATCTCTCTTTAATTAAGTTGTTTAATTAAATCGGTGCGTTTTTTTAAAATTTGTATTATAGACATACAACATTCACAAAATCTGGTTATATGATTTGAAACTGATCATCCGGGTGTTAAGGCTATTATAGCAAAGTTTCCCAGTTCCCAGCCTAGAGTGCTCCAGCTGCGTTGAGACTGCAACACTCACACTGGCTGGGTTGTAGCTGAGTATAACTGTCAGGAATCAAAAGGGAAGGCCATAACATACATTTAAAGTTGGTTATTAAGAGAATTAATATATATTGAAGGTGTCCCACTTCCAATGACAGTTCATGTAGTTCTGGGCTATATTTCTTATTAACTACTTAGAAATAAAAGGGATGCAATGGGAGTTTGGGAGGAAGAAAGATGTTACATGTCTACATAAAAGTTATTGAGACTGAATCTAATTTAGACTAGTTTAATAATAAGGAACATCTTTTTAGTGTACTTTGATCATTTTCTGTCTAAGGAAAATATTTAAGATTTAATGAGGGAAAAAACCCAGTTGAGCTCTAATGTATTCTGTTATTGCACTGGCCTAATTTTAAGAATTTAGATGTTTCTCTGGTAGACATTTTTACTACAGCAGATTTATCACATGTCTTAAAAATCCTGATCTGCAGTCTAATGTAAATAGATTCCCCCCTGTTCCTTAACAAGGAACTGAAATCCAATAAATTATATTTTTACCAAGCCACCATATACCTGCCGTCCTATATTTTCTCTATATGCTTATACATATAATGTAAAATGCTTATTGGACAGGAAGATCAACACAATTCCACTTATTCCACTGGAGCATCCTTTATGATGTTTTTATTTTCCTATGAAGTTCATTACATTAGCATTATATAATACCAGATTATTATATTTTATTTTGTATAAGATTAAGAATTTCCTGGGATGGAAATTGTCAATATTTCAAAAAATGCATAAAGTAAGTAGTAGTATAATTCAGAAAGATTATGGTTCAAGTGCATATGAAACAAGATTCAGCAGACACAGAAAAACACATTCACCATTCATGTTTTCCATCCTCTGACTGCAATAGACAGTCTAGCATGGCAGAAAAGAGGACGGAGAAAGCACATCTGCATGTAAAAATGCCATTTTTGTTTGTTGTTTGGGTTTTAAAATGGGTTCTGAGTTTCAGGTGGCTAAAATTTATTCTAAGTACATCAGAGCACCAAAAGGTCCTGTAATCATTTTCTCCATTTTACCCAGTTCTTTTATTAAATCATGGAATTCCCACTGGAGAATAAAGTTGTACGTAATTGCGTAGAGGCAATTTAGCTGGCCATATATAAAGAACATATTTCTTGTAAGGATAAATCTTCAGTATGGGGTTTTTACAGAGGGGAAATTAAGCCGGAGCAGAAGTGACAAGATGTTAGAACCGCAGAGGGTTCCAAATGCATCTTTTCTTCCCAACAAACAAGCAAAGTCTTTTGGACATGTTGCAATTTACATGTTTATTCAGTATTACCTTTCCATGGCTCTCTCTTCAGCATAGCTAGACTTGTAGGCTCCTCTTGAGCATCCACAAAAAGAAAATTCTGTTTGACTAGAGTACCAATTTAACTACTGGCTAAACATACAGAGGCAAATGTATCCTGTTTGCTTGGTTTTAATCACTTGGTCCAAGGAAACAGGTGGATCACAGCTCCTCTGTATTCCCATAGGAATCAGCTTTCCAGATGGTAGTACATTTGAGTGACAACCTTTTTCTCTTATCTATTTTTTTCTCTTCAACAATGAGTTGCATAACACAAGGTTGTGCAAAACACACCTTAAAACAATGAAATGGGGTAACATCTAATCTCACATCTATTTCCAGCACAATATTTCCCCAAACATTTCCAAACAAGCAGATTTGGTAGAATATCCCAATATCCCAACTGGACTTTCTTTTATTTCTCATTCAAGAAGCTTCTTCAATTCTGAACTGAAGAAGCTTCTTGGATGAGAAATTGGGGGGGGGGGGGATCCTTTTGAAAAAACACCTTTGGGACAACCATGACCTGGATAACTGTGAATCTCTATGGATGATTTAGTAAGGTACTTAGTGGTGAATCTGTTCTACAGACAATAAAACTTATTTTTTTCCATGACCAGAACTAAATCAACCTATTAGGATTTTGCAAAAAAAAAATAAAAAATTGAATGGGTCCCATATACCAGCTCTTTGTCTGAATTTCATGTAACTTGCCAGCTGCTATGTGTAAAATTTGAAGCTTCAGAGTGATTCTGCAGTGCAGCCTCTGAACATTTTAATGTTGCATTTGCTCATGGTGTTTTCTAGTTCTGCTATAGTCCAAGAAACTCTGTTCTATGTTCCCCATGTTTTATACTGATTCACTGTATTACTGAGTTTCTGTTTTGAAAAGGAGGGGAGAATTACCTCCTGCAAATCTACAAACAAATGTTGTTTTCCTGAAGTATGCCTTCCTCGATTATTTATTAACATGATCTGACTACTTTGGCAGTTGCATACATTTAATGTTAATATTTCTATGGACCATCTCGGTATGCCAATTTTCAATCAAGTCTGGTTCTTTCTTTTCTATAGTTTCTTCAAAATGCTGAGAAAAAGAAATAAGCACACAAGTCCAGATGACATTTTGATAATGGCATAGTTATAATCTACAGAGATATCCCATAAGCCATCATCAGGAAACGGAGAAATCCTTGAGAAAACTGTTGGACCAGATTTTCCTGGAGTTTGGGGATTCGGAAGAAACAATTATCAACCAAAAGATCTTATCTAGAAGCACTGGAGAAGCATCAGTCCAGTGTATCACCACTTTTCTTGGCATGTCAACATAGCAATCTAGTAGCCAGAAAGCAAACATTGCAATGTTAGACAAATTATGTCCTTGTAAAAGCCTTTGCTGTATTAAGTGTTTCTTACTTGTGTATCTTTTAACACTCTTATTAAAAATATGCAAGAATGAAATTAGTATTTGATAAACACTTAATTGCTTAAAGCCACATTTAATTAGTTTCACTATTGCTTGGAGACCAGGTGGCTTTTTTGTTTTTTTCCTATTGTGTTCAAAAATTTCTCAGGCCAGCATTCCTTAATATCACGGCCTACCATCCCTGAATTTCCAACCACAACATGTCAACAAGTGCCAGGTTAGATAATCTGGCTATTTTTGAAAGGGGAAATTCTCAAATATTAACTGAAATTAACTGAAAAAGCTTACAAGCATGTTTGAACCTTAAAAATCACTTACACCGGTGGAAATGCACTGTGTGATAATAAGGCTTTGTGTGATCAGATACTTAACAGATCAATATTGTAATGTATATCTTGCCATAGTTCTTGATACATTTGTAGCAATTTTAACACTACAATCAATTTAGATCATGTATTGTGATTCAATAATTTCTTAAAGCATGTTTGTTAACTGTATATGTTGTACAAAATGTATTTCAAATAGTACTGTCACATTAAATATTCATGTATCTTTTCACATTTTTGTATGCTGTACATTGAAATGATCCACTTTCACAGAAACGTGAAATCTTTGCTTCATTTATTTTTAATTTACACAAGGGATCAATATAAACAGTAATGATATATCTACCTAAGTAAAATATATATTAAACCATTGTTTTTTAAAATGTTAAGCCAAAAGTATTATTACTAGAATTTAATCAGATAATGGCACATTAAAGAAATTGTAATTTCCAGTTCTTTCAGAATAAGAATTATACATCTTACTTTGGAGAGAACTACTGAAATTAAAGATCAATATTTTTAAATATCAGTGAGTTACGTTGTGTTCCTATTATAATAATTTCTCTGGATGTTAAACAGAATTTATATTCTGATTAGATTAAGTGAAATAAAATCATTTACAAATAAAGAATAAAATTGAGAACTAAGATCTGAACATGTATAATCTTCTATAGATCTGTTCAAAAATGCAAACAGCTTATTCCCAGATAAATGAGTATAAGTATTAGTATGCACAAAATATTTTTTGAAATATTTTTTTGCAAGAGTTTGAAAATAATTATTAAAGCTTCAAATAAGTCAAAGGGATACATTTTTAAGTGTGCAAATAATTAAACATCAATCAAAGGCATTTCAAATATATAGGTTCCTTCAAAAGTAAATAAGAGTGAGGAAACATAAAATACTTTGAAGTCCTTTAGGGAAAAATAGGCATCAAATACTGTGAAATGCCTTAGCCTTTATGTTGTTTCAAAACCTAAGATAGTTGCCACAAGGGATTTCCTTCTTCCTACAAAACCATTTTTCCAAGCAAGGAATATTTATATGTAGTTTTTTTAAAAAAAATCTTACATGACTTTGTCGGATATTTGGCATTGGGTTCTTAGATCCTCCTTTGCCCGGGTAGATTCTGCTGTCCAAACTGAGAAACTATGAGAGTTAGTTGCTGACAGTCCTTCTATTTTGTGATGGAAATGGATTTAAGAGTGAATGGTCTCTGTTCCCTTCTTTTGGAATAGATTTAGGATGCTTTCCACTCTTCTCATGGACTTCTGAAGTCTTGTAAACATCTGGTTTTTCCAAATGATTTTGTGTTGGAGCATGAGTAATTTTAGATCGAATTTTAGAAAGAAAGCCTGAATTCCCGAGCAAAAGATGGAGTGGACTCATTGAAAAACATCTTCCAGTTCAGTCAAAGACTTTAAACATATTTAACGTTCAAGACCTTTCTTTTCTTTTTTTTAAAAAGTATACCTCATCAAGTCTTGATTCCAATCTAGTGCAGTGACCTCTGTAAATCAACTAACGTACAAGTGTTTGCAAAAAACTGGGGTCAAAAGGACTGTGTACATTGTAGTTTAGTGCCAACTGCAGTCCAAACAGCCAGATGTGGGAAGGAAAACTTTTACCTATTGGAAAAAGCAATTGATATTTGCTCCCATTTGCATACTGATTAAGGATTTCCCATTGTATAATATTTACACACTGGGACAGCAGAACAATTTGTAGCCCAGTTCTGTCTCCAAACACATTGTTGTGCATCAGAGACACTTTAACCAGTCAACACAAAAAAACAGTCACCGTGGGAAATAGTTATCTCAGGATTAGGGTTGTTGATAGTATTATCCAACCAGATTGCTTTTGCCTTTAAATATCCATCATGGTGAAAAGAAGTCTTGGCTCTGATGTTTCTTTTCATGTACATTTCATTCATGTTGTTTCCAGCGTTAGATGTTTATGAGAAGTCAATTCAGTTAACATAAATTTGTAAATTCCTAAGGGGGAAAAGGGGAATTAAAAGCTCTCCAGAAACACTATGGAAAAATAGATATATCAAACCTTATTCTGTCAGCTCTGCTTGTCTTCTTTTTTAAAAGGAGCTATAAATCTCCTTGCTATATAGGTACGTACCTGAAAATATTATTTTTCTTTACTTACATTTCATAGTACAAATATGCAAGCTAGTAAGATGTCTTTATCTGGTATTTAGAAGAAAAAAAAGTTTGTTGATATTCAGATCATGCATTCAATATGATCTTAAGGTGCAGTGTGAACAGTACACAGAAAGCATTTTTCAGTGTTAAAAAAAAACTCAGGCCTTTTCCCTTCTTTTGTCTTAGCAATTTGAGAATTATTTTGTCATTTAAAGTAATTTTAGAAGCTTGCCCTTTTTGTGAGAAATTTTTTGTAATGTTTTAATTTTTAATTTAATTTTTGTAATGTTTTTCTAGATGTTTTCACTTTATTTTCCAGACTAACACTTGAGTTATATTATGAATTATACTGATGCTTTTTCTCCATGATATCAACTCATTTGTGAACTATTTAAAGACGTATGGCTACTGAATCATCAATGTAAGAATCCAGTTGTTTGTCCCTTCAACCAGTCCATGTAGAAACAGACAATATTTTATTATTATAAAAACTATACATAAGGAATTCTTTTAAGTTTAATTCTTTAACCATCATGGATAGAGATGGTGTTGATTGGGAATAATTTTATAGTGTTTTAAGGAATCCCAAGTTACTGGGTGGGGAAATTATCAGAGAAGGAAGGATAGTCTGCTTCATCATCCGCCATGTAGAAGAGGCAGCTCCCAAGATATGGGTGCCTATTCTAGAAACTGAGTAATTGTTCGGGTTGCATTGTGCATTCACATTTGTAGACACACTTCTCTATATAAAACTGCCTTTATAGAACTTTAATGGGTACTCTCCTTTATATAGACTTATACAGATTGAATTGCGCCCACAGGGGAATGGGATTCCCAATCCCTATAATTGAGATATCCATAGGGGAACGGAGAATGTCAATTTATGCAGCGTCAGATGGAGGTTATGCAACGTATTTTGACTTTTGAGATAATTCCTGCTATAAACCTGTCACTGATGTACAATACTCATGCATCCAATACCTTTAACAATACATGCTTTGGTGAGAGTCATGACAAGTAACAATATGTAACTGAATTTGACTGATCCCTAAAATGTTAGGTGGGAAATCATCACAGTAGGAGACAAGATACTATCGCCGATATCATGAGCTTGAGTTGAGAACTTTAAAAAGCAGTCACTGATAGTCCTGGGGAATTGTAGCCCAATAGATCATGAACTATTAGAAACGACTGAATTACTGGCAATCATCAACAACTGGAAGAAATGATTTCTGATTCAAATAATTTATTCCTTTCTAAAATAGATAAAATTGAGATACGCTTTTTAAAATATATTATTAGCTTCATAACATAAGCCACCAATCTTCCCAAAGGAAGCATTACATTTTAAGAAAAGAGACTTCTTATATGGGTTGAACGTTTTTATTTTATTAGAGCAGCATTCCTCTAGCTGGGAATTTGGTAATTCTGGGAGATTATAGTTCAATGCATGTCTGGGGAACTCAGTCTGAAGCAGTCAGTGTTTTAAATGAATTTAAAGGTATTTTGTAATGCGCTTAAGACCCTTATCCAAAAGTGGAATTTACTAGGTGCCCTGAGCCAGTAAAGATATGAACTCCTTGATAAAATATGAACTTGAGGTGGAGGAAAGGCAATTTGAAGTGTAACACAGGGTGCACTTGAAACAGGGAGAGTATTAAAAGCATTGATCTGTGACTCAGTTCAAAGATATTGCACAAATTAGCAAATCTTCCAAAGTACAAAGGAAATTAAATGGCAAAACTTCCTGACCAAAGGATGGATACCGTGAAAATAAAATAATTATAGCTGAACTGGAAAGATGGAGGCTTTATGACTGGTAAAAACAGAGGTTACAATTGCTGGCATTTTCCAGATGCTCCACAACTTCAAGCAACATTGTTTGTTTGGCTCAAAACAACAAAAGCACTGTTGTGCAGCTGGAATGCCAGAGGTTGCTCACTATACTCTACCCCAGTAGCTTTTTCAAACTTGGCAACTTTTTACTGGTGGCGAACAGCTGGGGAATTCTAGATGTTGAAGTGCACACAACTTAAAATTGCCAAGTTTAAAAAAACACTGCTCTAAATCTTCAAACCCAGTAAGAACTGCAACTGAAAGAGCTATAAGAAAAATAATAGCAAGTGTTTCTATGCAATTTAACTAATTATTGGCTTAAGTTAACGTACAAGTGTTTATACGGGTATCTAATATTCTAGACCAGGGCTGTCAAACTTAAATGCCTGTTGACTTTAATAGAATCATAGACTATCAGAGTCGGAAGGGACTTTAGAGCAGTGGTGGGATTCAATTTTTTTTAACTACCGGTTCTGCGGGCATGGCAGGGGAAGAATACAGTAAAATCTCCAGTCAGAGGTGGTATTTGCTGGTTCTCTGAACTACACAAAATTGCCGCTACCGGTTCTCCAGAACTGGTCAGAACCTGCTGAATACGACCTCTGCCTTAGAGGTAGCACTTTCCTGCTACCAATCACATCTGATAACAAGATGAGTTCTTAAGTAGATCTGATAAAGACATATTTTTTGCAGGCATATTAACACAGAATCTGAAGAATCTTTAGGTACAGACTGCAATAGATTAGGATTTATTGCATTTATTAACTTATCACATTTAATACAAAAGGTAGAACAAATTACATACAAACAATGATGAAATCTAAGTAACCTTTAAAAGGAAAACTCATCTCCTATATAAAATCTTACCTGTGTATAAACCACAGCCTAAAAGACATGAAGGAATTAGTGTTAGAAGCAGTCAGTTGCAATATTAAGTTATTTTGTGCAATATACATGCATACATATATAAGTAAGCAGTGGATGAACAATTAGTTTGCATAATTTATAGCAGGATGATGGCAAAGTATGCCTTTCTGATTACAGAATACACAAAAATTACTCTTCGTTGGCGGCAGAAAGACAGAGTAGGCAATTATCTGTTAACAGAGAAAAAGAAAATTAAAAACTTTAGTCCAGCAGTTCCCAGCAATTAATTTTCGCTGAATTCAGTAGGATCCACACACTTTTATCTATGTATTTTGTGCAACAGCTTTCAGGGAGAATATAGTAGGCCTGAGTATTTTCAACAATTATGACAGGTTTAAAGGGCAGAGGAGCTGGATTTTAATCCCATATGCAGGAATTAAAGAAGTGGCTTTTCAAAATAAAGAAGTAGGTCTTAAGAAGAACTTAAAAGCCAGAAACTTATGTTTCTTCACATTATAAACAATACCATACCATAAACCGCTAGGATAAAGACTTACATGCAGCTTGTTACTATCCCCACACATTTAAAAAATATTTTTACACACTTTCCCATTCTTGTTCATTTGATTGTAAGATGCTGAGACCCATACACATAAGCAAGGCAGAAAGGCAACATTAACTTTTATTTTGATACCCATGATTTTAAAAGGCACAATTTATATTTCCCATATTATACCCACATGGGGTCTTTCCAGTTTATGTAGGATATCCTCATTTCCCGCTTTTGGATATTCTGTTATCACTATATTTACAGAAATGGAATCTTAGTGATTCTGCACAGGTTTTTTAAAAAAGGTGTCAGTTTTCCAGATGATTCTTCACTATTACTATAGCAACTTAATTCATCTCTGAGGAAGCAGAGATACTAATAGTCCTTAATTTCTTTTATAAATGTATCCTATAACAAAAATATAAGGAAAACTGACATTTAAATGAAGATGTTTATCTTGTTGTATTTTTGAAAAGAACTGAATCCTGAACTACCATAGAAATCTTTGGCACTTTGGAAGAACAATCTGCAACTGACATAGAAAGAGAAATTTTTCCTATCTAAGGTCCGCTTCCTGCACTGCAAAAAAAAAAAAAAAAAAAATTAGTAGAGACAACCATTTAAAAATATATATCCTTTTAAAAAAGAAGCTTTCCCAATCAGCCAGGAGTGACCAACTGCTATTCAAAACCTGGACTGGAGTTTTTCAATACAACTTGTATTTCTGAGAATAAATCAGTGCTGGATATTTTTCTTGTGCATTGCTGTCTTGAATACCACTAGCTTCTGTTCTGCTCTGATATCGATGCCAATAGTCTCTTGCTAAGTAGGGCATTGTGCCGCTGAAGGTATTCAATCATGTCACCTTGTTTTTCAACTACTTCTTCCAAACTTGAGAATTCTCTGAAAAGCAAAATAAAATAAAATCATACCATCATCCTAATCGCATTGTCTTTTGCTCGTTCTTCCCAGAGTCATGCTGGCTCAGGAATTCTGGGAGTTGAAGTCCACGGGTCTAAAAGGGCCACAGTTCCCCAATCCTGCTCACGACTATCAAACACCCGGCCCAACGGCCTGATGAGTCACGTGGTCACGCCCATGCCCAGTTTAGCGAAGGGGGGGAAAAGTCCCAATGCATCACATGACACCGCCGTGATGATGTGAGTTTGACACCAGGGCTGTCTTAACAGCATTATGGGCCCTAGGCAAAGCAGTGAACTGGGGCCTCTACGACAACTACTCACAAGAATAAAAATGTAAATGGTCGATAAAATTAAACATATATTTGCATGTTAGTATTAATGTAAAAAATGCAGTAAAATGTAATCAATATGTTGCTGTATCCATATAATACAAGGTGCACTGAAGGGTTAACATACACAGATTAGTATGGAGTCTCTATGCTCATGGGGCCCACAGGCAAGCGCCCATCAAGCCCACGCGTTAAGACAGCCCTGTTTGACACCCCTGCTCTAGAATAATGAACCATGAGACTAATATACCACACTATCAGGGCTTAAAAAACACAAGAGTGCCAAGGATTTATCCAATTTCGGCAAATTTATACAAGTACCTGAATCCAACTTCTGAGGTAACTTGATTAGGATAGGAATACATCTTCTCTTCTTCTATTATATCAGGTCTTGGCTTTGCTTGGTTAAAGTTGCTTACCTTCACTTTGAGAACAAAGAGAAGGTCAAATGTATCCCGCTACTGTCAAACTATATTCAATTAAAAACAAACTTCATTTCTAGAAAAAAAAATATTGTTTCCTCTACAAAATGGAACAGTTCAAAGCATTTAAGTATAAAACAAGATGCATAAGGGGGGAAAAAATGAGGGGTCTTATTATTCAGACCCAGAAAAAATCACAGAGCCCAAACGATAAAGTTAAATAAAATGACAACATCCAAAGCTGATTTAAAAGGAATTTTGAACTCTTGTAGCATAAATAAATGTTCTGCTTCCAAAGATAAAAATCCTTTCACAAATTCCATTAAATGTCCCTCTAAAGGTAATTAGTTATAAAAAAAGAATCACAGTAAACTAAATATTCACGTGGATGGAAACAGTTCACCAGAAAGCTTTAACCCAAGTTGTTTAGCATTCTAATCAAATGCAAACGATTTAGCAATTCTAGAATATAACCCAATACAAACAAGAGAATAGGAAGGTTTTTCTTTCGGCTTTTCTCTAAAAAACTAAACAACAATAAACCTCCATGCGATAAGAATAGTCAAAACATGCCATCTTAGGGGCAAGGAAAAAGAAACTCAATTGTGCAGTTATTTTGTCTTTATATAATGCAATCATGATACTGTTTTTCATGGCATGTTTATAATATTGATATGTTATAACAACTGGAAAACTGGGATAATTTTTACTCAGCTAACCAAATATCCTGAAAAAGAGCCAGGTTATGTTTAACATATTCATAAAAGAAAGAAAAAAAATATATCTGGAGAAGAACTAGATGTAGTAAACTACTACACATATCTTGGCCGATGGATCTCAATGGAAAGCACATATAGGAAATTGAAAGGCATGTTAAATGTGTTTCATAGGCATTTTGCAAGCTAAGTATAAATTTCAAGAACTTCCTCCCCCTCTGCATGCCTGAAAATAAAAGTTTTCGATCAGTGTGTGCTACCTGCTCTAACACATGCCAGCAGAACATGGACACGAACCTCACAATCAATACAAAAGATACAAGTGGCGCAAAGATGCATGGTTGGCATTACAAGACAAGATAGAAACACCGGCACACGGATTCAACAACAAACAAAAGTATACAATATCATCAAGAGAGTAAAAGAATGGAAATGGAAATGGGCTGGTCACATAGAATGATCAAGGCAGTCATAGAATGGATCCCACTTGGTAAGATCCATGAAAGAGACCTAAAACAAGATAGATCGATGACATCAGCAAATATCGTGGGCCCGACTGACAAAAGAAAGTTCAGGACTGAATTGGTTGGAAACGTGTGTAAGAGGCCTTCATCCTGAAGTGGATAGACAACGGCTAAAATGATGATGAGGATGATTCCGGGTGAGCGGGGAATACATCTTTCGGATGACTCTAGAGCAGGAGTGTCAAACTGGCGGCCCGCAGGCCGGATGTGTCACGCATAGGCCACGCCTACCCCGTTCTGCGAAGGGAGAAAACGTTCCGATATGTTACGTGACGGCAATGTGACACCATGAGTTTGACGCCCATGAGAATAGGATCTGTTTTGGCATTTCGTCAATTTTCTTTCCAATAACAAATAAAAAGGAAGCAGGGGCTGGATATGATAAAACAGTGGCATCGCTATATTTCCCCTCCGCTTAAGAAAGTAATATGGAAATGGGAACCGTAGGCAAGATCTTCCAGCCTGTTTTGTGCCAATAAGTAAACCAACCAACCAAACAGAGCTTATTTGTTATCGGTGAGCAGAAATGGGTGAACTGGCTGAGCATAACATATGATTATCTACCAGGTAATTCAATGAGAAAAAAATGGAAATAGGTATCAACAGGGAAAGATCATGTGACCATTTCAGCTATTTTTAATACTTCACAGCAGGCTAACTATTCACTCGTTAACTCAGAGAAAACCCTTGTCAATTGGGTTATTTGTGCGGTGGGATATTTTGTTAGGAAATATGGAGATGTGGCTTATGTACCCTTCTTAACTCCTATTTAATTCCCTTTATTTTTTGAAAGGAGCATTAAAATGCTGTTTTGAAATGGTATGAATTAAAGCAGATACGCTTGCTGAGTTGATGGGTAGGGTATTCCCATACATTGTGGGAAGGGTAGGGAGGATCTGGCTAGGATAAACTGCATAAAATTATCATCATTCACACCCAATATTTGGTTCTGCAAATATGTTTCCAGAATGAATGCTTGACTGCTTAGCCAAAAAGGGATTAGCAAACATACTGGAGAAGATTGTTTTTATTTATTTATTCATCCCACATCAACACAATGCTTCATTCTCCTCCACTCAATCAACAGCTCTATGTGAAGAGAAAAACTCTTCCTATCTCTATTAGAATTGCTTTACTAGGCCACCTGCTATGTAGGAAGGGGGCTGGATGACTGATCAGAGGAATAACTAAAACAGGTGTGTCTACAAGCTGTAAAAAGCTTTAGATGCATTTAGCTCTCAAGCTGCCTTAAGAATTCAGGTATCAAAGCGCAGATCCGATTACCCCCAAAGTACACATTCGAAACAATGGTGCCTAAAGGTGGTCAGTGGAGCAGAATCATAAAAGATGGGTAAGCTAGTGAGTTGGTTAATATAACTGTAAACAAAAGCATTTTATTGTGCTTTATCTAAAAAATAATACCTTTTTTTCTGAAATAGATGATTGTAAGTCAGAGGAAAAGAGACATGAGGGCGATTAACAACAATGCTCAGGAAACAGCAGTAGAGAGTGGAACCGCCATGAAATAAGCACTGTGAGGAAAACTCTGCTTCATTTAGGTAATGTTACATTGCATGCACGTGTGTAGGGACAGGACCTGCATTCATGACGCTCATTTCATCCCTTTGTCAAAGCCACTGATTCTTATTTGAACATAGAATAATAGAGTTGGAAGGAACCTTGGAGGTCTTCTAGTCCAACCCCTTGCTTTAGCAGGATAATTTTTAAGGGAGGCTTGGTGGCGCAGTGGTTAGAGTGCAGTACTGCAAGCTACTCCTACTGCAATTTGACAGATTGAATCCCACCAGGCTCAAGGTTGACTCAGCCTTCCAAGGTGGGTAAAATGAGGACCCTGATTGTTGGGGGCAAGAGGCTGGCTCTGTAAACCGCTTTGAGAGGGCTGGAAAGCCACTATAAAGTGGTATATAAGTCTAAGCGCTATTGCTTATTGCTATACCCTATGCCAATTCAGACAAAGAACTAAAGAATTGCGGGGCACATAAAAGACTAGCCAATGTGCTCTTACATATTTGTAGTAATTTGTGTGCTATCCTACACATTGCAGTGAAAATCAATATCCTTGACCAGGAAGCAATAAAGGAAAACACTGAAGAGTAGTAAAAGAAAGTAAAAAAAAAGAAAAGAACAAATGTGTAGACAAACAATGTGGATTCTTTGGCTATATGGAGGTCTGGATTCAAAGGGCAAAAGGAGATTCCACTTTGCTTTTTGAATTTGGATCTCTGCACAGACTTATTATATAAAGTAGTAAAGCGTTAATGAGCCAGAATATTCAGCATGGTTCTTGTGAACCCTTTTGCATTTTCAGCAATTCTACAAAAATATGACCTAAATGTTGAGAATCATTTTCTTCAATAAATAAATGAACAAGTTTTGGATTCATATATAGTTTTGGGAGTTGTGTGGAGACAAGAGCATGTTTTAAATCATATTTATACAGAAATATTGGAAACTGAAAAGGATTCGTAAGCTTCTAAGCACCACTGTATGTATTTAGCTACTTTAAAGTGCTGTTTTGCTTCTATTAGTTATACTTACAAAGATGCCTTAGAAGCTAGCTAAAATCTGTGCTTATGTTGCCATTGTGTATTAAATGAGACTTTACACATCACATATTTTTTTGTTCTAGGTTCTAAATTTAATTGCTTTAATTATAAACAGAGGGAGACAGCAAGTCCAATACAAAGCTATAAGACTCGAAAGCCAACTCCTTTGAAACAGCAGTTTATAGATCATTCACATACACCTTAACGCCTTAAAATACAGATTCCCCAGGATGGCTTGAAAAATAATAGCATAGTGTCATTTTTGTCTTCTTTGCTGCAATAACTTATAGAATTATCTCACTTTACTGGCGATGCTACATTCCCTGAGTTTTAGCTTTTTTTCATCCTAAAAAGAGACCGGAGAATTTCATTATTCTTATAAGACTGCATCTTGTGTTTGAGCTTTTCTAACACTCTCTGAATTGTGCAAATGTATCTGGCAATATGCATTTTGCTCTTTCCTTCCTCAGCTTCCATGTGCCCAGTAAAAAAAAAAAGAGCCTTGAACTATTCATGAAGAGATGTAGCTGCTTATCAGTGCCAGGCAAAAAGATTCTCAAAGCAGCTGCTTTGCCACAAAAGATGACTCTCACTGCCAAGGGAAGGATTTCTTTACCAACAGCTGCATTTTGTATGCTCTATTTTTGTGCTGAACACTGCCCCAAGCCCTTGGGATACACCAGCGTAAAAGTTGAAAGATGTAAGTGTCATGCAAACAATTGCAGCTTTGCAGTTCCACCACCACAAAAGTTAAGTTCAGTAACATCCGGATCTTTGTCCTCCTCTCAGCATCATATACAATAACACTGAAAGGTCTGGTGGTATGATTTCCGACAGTATAAATATTAGGGTGACAGCTTGTACGTTTTTAGCAGACCGCTTAAATCAAGTTCATGTTAAAATAAGGCTTTAAAAACAGAATGAGAGTGGGTGGCTTAATCACCCTAACAAGGCAAAGAAAAATTCTCACCTGTGTACACAACCAGACATATCAATGAGCATATCAATTCCATAGCCAAGATTCCCAGCATGAAGCAGAGATACATTTTATTGTGATTAGGAAACGAATGTTGCAATGACACTATCAGCAATAAAGCCACATTTCCTATTAAAAACAAACAGGACACATTAGAAACAGAAATCTGGGATGGTTTCTTCCACAAAGCCACATTGGTTGAAAGTCAAGGCCACTAAAACAGTGTGGAGGGTAGGCTAGAATTTTCCAAATATAGCTCACAAAGAACCCTTCTGCTTAAATAATAATCGTGCAATAACTTTAAGCCAAACTGCATGCAACAGATAACCTTGATCAGTAGGCCATTAAAATAAATCCATACATAGCTGACTCTAATGACCCAAAATAGAAACAAACAGAAAATGTATTAACTGTCTGCAGGGCTAGGGCTTGAATTCAATTCTTTCCTTCATTCTGCCTTCCAGGACAATTCAATCATCACTGACTGTGTATGGGTTCTAGATGAATCTTTACAATAGTGGGCTAGAATTACTGGAATGATATATATACTATTTATTTGGATTGGATTTCCACCAGTCCCACTATCTTTCAATGGGCTTTAGGAGTAAAGTTATGAACAGATATAAGGTCAAATTAATATACAGATTGATTGAATACTGTCAAATCAATGTCAACTTTCAGCAACCACAGCTGAATTCTCCCTAGGAGGATTTATTTTTTATCTTGGCCTTTTAGATTGTTTTAGAGATATGATGATTTTAACAATAACTACAATCATTTGCTGTCCGTATCCAAATATAAGAGCACAGTACCATTGCATTCTTTTGTATAATTGAAATATTTTGTTATTGTCCCCCTCCAGGACCTTCTTGTATCAGTTCTGCCTTATACATACAGAACTGTACAGGTGTCTGCTTGTTATACAGGTGTCTGCTTGTTTTAGCTGGGCTGCCCGTTATATTTTGGGTGACTGTACTGAGAAAAAAAACCCACTCCGGCTGTACCTTACCATCCAAGAACACCCACCAGATAAGGCTGAGACATCGTAGAAGGACTTACAAGTAAAATGATTATTAGCATTATATAAAAGGACAATATATTTTCCCCACAGAAGCATATCACAAGCACTATATCTTCAAGAGAATGTATCATCTGTTTAAATAGCTATTGGCCATCTCGTTGGTTTTTCTATCCCTAGAGCTCTATCTAGTGGCCCCATTCCAGTGGTGCATATCTAACAAGACTACAGATATTCATCCATCTGTAGATTGATTGGTTGGTTCAAAACTGCAGTTTGGTCGTTAACAAAATGTATATATACTGAAATGCTGAAATCAAACAATATTTCATTCGAGAACAAGTAAACTTCTTTTCAGGGGGTGCTTATTAACTTACTTTTTTTAATATCTGGAAGAAGGGTTTTCATTCTACCCAGTAGTCAAGCAAGTTTAGACCTCTCCATGGCAAGTGTTAGCCCTTCGAGGTTCTCCAGAGAAGAAGTGCAACCAGGACCATCCGATCATTTTTATGAATGGCAAGGTTTCACAGAACAGAATTTTGCAAGTCTGAAAATATTCCTCCCTATCTGTCCTACTGGTTCCTTCTGAAACTCTTCCCATTCTCTTCCCTCACCTGCAACCTAGATCGTTCCTTATCAGGTGTTGCCCAGGATGCTGCTGCTCCTCCCACAAAGTCAACACTATCATATAACATGGGAAAACTGGGAGCCACAACATTGTCTTGTTTCATAATTAGATGAACAAGGAATAGAAATGTAACACAATATGACAGGCTTAGTTAGAAATATAAATTTAAAAATGAAATTAAGTGGTACGATCATAAGAGGAAATAATCTCTCCAGTTTTGTAAGATTGCATCTTTTCATTTAATACCAATTTAATATTTGTTTTATGTTCAGAGTGCATGCAATTTTATGGTACATATGCTACTTAGTTCTACAAGCCAATGAAACTAAGATATTGTAACTGATAAAAGTGAACTTATTTCTTACTGTAGTGGGCAGGATCTCAGCCAACAGACCCAAGATAAAAGCTTTCAAGTAAACATTAATCTAGATAATATAAAGTATTTGACACCAGAACAGGATATATTAAAAGTTGATAAACTTTCATTCTTGAAAGCAAGGCCAAAAGCCTATTTTTCAGGGATGTTTCAAACAATATCTTACATTTACTGTATATCAGATGATACAGTCCTAATGAAAAAGTGCCTTGGATATATTCTTGATCTCTAAAAAATTAGGACCACTGGTGTTACTGCAAATTTTCTGTGCATGCAGAGGTACAAATACCGACATGATACCCATATCTGTGGAATTATTTATCACACAGTGGGCCTGGTACAATTAAGATAGCACATTATTACTTTTCACAGTAAAAAATATATGACCATTACTCAGCAGTGGCTCTGTTTGTAAGTATGCTGCAGTGTAAAATAAAATGATATTTTAAAAAGTCTTTTAAAAGTCTGAGCAGGATTTTAAACCTTTTATTAGCCATAGCTATAAGAGTGACTTGTTTCAGTTTACTAGAATAAAAGTTTCAACTTATCAGAATGATATATATCAGGACAAAAATAAAAGTCATAAAAATTTCCACCCTAGATGTGTAACATCATTACTGCATACTGAAATACCTGAATTTAAATAGAAAACATTAATTGAATTAAAGCATTATTTAATTAAAATAACCATGGATCGTCACCTGTTGACTGAATTAGCAGGGGAAACCTTTTAAGGTGTCTTGTGGTTCGGTAGATGCGGAGATAACCTTTGCTTCTAGCTTTGCTGTGGTGAAAGTGAATGAAACGCTCCAGGAACAGATGAAGCATCCATAGAATTACCTTGGCAATCGTTATAGTAGTCTGCACTTTAAAAGGATAAGTATAGTTTTCAGGGCACGTGTCTTCACTTGAATCAGCATAAGAACAAATAACCCCTGTCACAAATGCCAACACAACGAAGGTAACCTAAAAAAAAGAAAGACATGAAATAATTATACACACTAATAAAGTATTATCAGTCAGGTTTCATACAAGCTATTTATTCCTATTAAGCATCTTTATTTTGTTTCTGTAGTGAGCTGAATTATCGTACTGTTTCAACTGGGAATGCCTGTATTTCCCAATTCAGGAACAATACCACTTATAACCCAATTCTAAGCATGCTAGATTATTTTAATGCAAATATGGACCCAAGATATAGCTGTGCACAGATTTAGGGCACTTCATAACAAGGAGAAGGCTCATAAGAAAAGTCCCTAAGATTCAGCTTTGCTTCAAAGGAGTCACTGGGGTTGTTCAATAGCACAAAGGGAACTTACGATTGTATATGTTATTTTATTAAACTTTTTAAGACACCAGAGTTATTTTTTCTCAGTTGAGGAAGTCCTGGGTGTGCACATGGGATCAGTTTCCATCAGCCTGTTTCTGGAAAATGGTATGGCCAAAGTTCCTATATAAAGACTCTAACATGAAGCAGTAAATTAATGATAAATTTTGAGGGTCAGAAGCTGTTTATTACAGTCAGTATACAGTCAGTATACCACAATACTGTTGCCAATAGATGTGCACAGAAATGGGTAAAAATGATTCAACATAAACTAGCAACAAAACCTCAAGATTCAAGAAGCTTTGGCATGATTGCAATTTGTGATACTTAATATCCAACTGACAGATTTAACTTGCAAATATGCATCCACTTTAACACAAATAAGTCTCTTTAGGTGACTTGCAACTTACGGTTTGAATTCAAAAACTATCTTGCTGAAATATTAGAAATAATTAAACTTTCACTTCTGTGAAATAGAAACTCATTCAGAAAAGGGGAAATACAGCTTCTGCTTTATTTTTTTTCCACTTCTATTGTAATCTGTCCTGAACATAATGAAGGTAGTCACTATGTTCATTCACTTGTAAAGCAAAGAATGTTAACTTAATCTGGTTTTAATACATGTCACTGTTTCTGTCATCAAGCTTTCAGAGTTTTTTTTTTTCCTTCCTTCCTCGCCCTCTATACATAATACATACACTGAAGCATACTTCTCTTTTATTATATCCAAAATTATGCTTGGCATATGCAGAAACTGTTTTGATTGCTCTATTTCATTTTGTAAAATAGTAAGGAGACATAGCAATTCAGATCCCATTACCGTAAAGGATAACAAAAGGTAGATTTATTAGTTATGGCACCAGAAATAGGAGTTTTCTGCACATTCCATTTTGTGTTTAATTTTCTCAGCTGAGATATGATCCCCATGCTGAAAGTTGCCAAAACTGTAACAGTAAATACAGTGGTACCTCAGTACTCAACATTAATTGGTTTTGACAGGCATGCCAAGTACTAAAAAATATGAGTGTCGAGCAAACAAGGTGGCTTCCAACTTTGTTTTGGCCGGAAAGAACTTTGTTTTTTCCTACGTCAATGACCTTCCCAACATGGCTGACTTTCTGCCCGCCCTCTGCAACAGTCCTCCTCTTCCTTTTGCTGTGTGCTAAATACCAAGGAAACAATGAGTACCGGGGCAACATGTTCACATCAAAATGCATTGAGTACCAAATTCAACAAGTTTTGAAGCAGTTGAATAGTGAGTTACCATTGTAATAACGATGGGGCAAGGTGGTCTTAAAAGATACTAGATGCCTCTGCCACTTTTAAAGGACCAAGAAGGAAACATTGAGATGAATGTTTTTCCGCTGGGGAAGGAGCAATTTAGGTGGCAGGTTGGTATTCCTAATGTGTTGGTCAGCGAAGTAAAATAGGCACATTTTACCACTGGTCTTCAGGAAAGCTGATTTTTTTTTGCATGACACCACATTTGTTTGTTTTTTTCAACTTACATGCAGAAGCAACAAAACATTGGCAACAAAGACTGTAGGTATAGCATGGAACTCTGGATGAAGCCTGGAATGTAACGTATGGCGTGGAAGAAGTGGTGCATCAAGTAGAGGGTCATCATCCATACTCTGCGTTACCTCCAAGGACCCCTGAAACAGATGACATCTTTTTTAAAAAACCAGAAAATCAAAGTAACTTTTATAATATGCAGAAATCAATTACGCTATTTGTGTAAGTTGTCTCACATTAGAAAGAGCCGTACATTTCAAAAAGCAAATCCTATTATGCGTAATAGGATTTAACATCATCTACAGAGAATTATAGTTATCATGTAATTTTACCCAGATTATAGCACTGAAGGTCCTGAGTATATAAAGACCCAAAGAAAATGTTGCTATGAAAAAGAATATAAATCCAATTAAAATATTTACCTCCGCATCCATAAATAACACCCTCAGCATCCATAATTTATTTGATGGGAGGCATGAAATCCATGTTCAAGTTTTAGAATAACCTCCACAAAATCAAACTTCAGTACATCTCTGAAACTGTCAAACATGCCTGACTGGAAAATCTGGCTCACAAATCTGACCAGGAAATCCTGATTCCACTCCACATTTAATTATGAAAGGTGGTTCTGGGCCCATCACTGTTTCTCATGAAACGTCCTTATGTTGTGAGGAAAAGAGAAACCAGAAGTTCTACCATACCAGGAGGCCAACACGGGAGCACACTTCACATTACATTGAACACAGAACTGAAAATGCTACTTTTGTGTATTTTTTTTCCACATAAAATATTTTTAGATTAGTGTACTGTTAACAATTGCAAGCATTTTTTTCGTTAATATACTCATTCTACAGGAGCTAAAAGACCTTTAAAACCTGCTGTTTTCCTGTTCCATGTAACATGGTCAGAAATCGTCAGAGCAAAAATGTCAAGTAGATAGCTCAGTATAACTGAATCTTTTCTAGGAATAAATCCCCATAAATTTACTCATTTATTCATTTTTTATGCAGCCACCTCAATCAAATTCATTTCCTTCTGGGCATAATAAATATATTTAAATTAGAAAATATTTGAGATACTTTTGGTCAGGGAAGTATTTTTTAAATTTATTAATACAAAACCACGACCTTAGGATTTCAGAACAAAATGAAGTATTCACTAACCATTTGTGCTATAGTAATATGTTTTGTTTTTAATCAATCAAACAAAACACTGAATTGGAATGTAGGTATCATGGAAGTTATGTTTTCAAATAAAGCAAGTGAATCACTATTGAACAGAAATAGCATGGTCTTCAGAGTCACGGTCTTTGGAAAAACTGTCTGGTTTTCAGGGCCACCCTTTGTATTTCAAGGATATGCCAATTCTGTAGTTCAATATTAACAGGAAGTAGGAAGCGCAGTGGTTTAATGGTTTAAAGACAGTGGGGAAGGACTGTGATGGTCGAAGACCATGTGTGGTGGGGTCACTTGCCTTGGCTTTTGTCATACTAGCAGTTTGAAAGCATTCTAAATGCAAATACCACTCAGTAAAGTACCACTTTGTTAAAGAGGAAAAACAGTGCTAAATGCAGTAGAAACCAAAACCTGACCTTGTCTGAATGCGACGCCTGACCCCAAGCCAGTTTGCTCCCTGTGGGTACACTAGGGATGACACAAGAGCATGAACCAAACATGCTTAGGCAGTCAAACAACCACTCTGTATTAACATGGTATTAGTCTCCTGACTAACCTACTATTGCTGTACACTGAATAAAATAATTAGTAGTAAGAAGTCAGTTTTAAGAGTGCTGACAATGTAATATATAGATGTCTATTGAAATGTATATCCTCTTGGATAAAATTTATATGTGGGCTCAAAATAGAATACATCTTAATTTCACACGTTTCACCTTCCACAGAGAAAGAGACCAAATTATCATTCCTGACAAAGGGAAAAAAAACATCTTCCATCAGTTCTAGTTAGAATGACCAATAATGAAAAAAGTCAATTCTAATAATAGCTGGAGATCGATGTAATCTAATGAATGTATTACACTCCAATTTTTAATTACAAAATTGTTTTTCAAATATGTAATTAAATTTTAGAAAGCTAGCACAAGACAGAGAAAGCAACCCTTATTTTGACAGGTTAACATCCTGCACAGAACTTATTTTCAGTGCAAGAATCAGCCACAGCAGATAGGCAAACAGAATCATCTCAAGTATCTTTTAGTTTTGTCTCCAAATCTCTTCTTGGTTCTACTGAAATCCTAGCAAACTCTTGCAAATTCATATTTGTATTTGTGTGTGTGTGTGTGTGTGTGTGTGTGTGTGTAAAATCATGACCTTTTATATTTATTTGTGCTCTGGACTAGTTTTATAAATGTTGGTAGAACATAAAACAAAGCTCGGTTCATCTAACAATGCTTCTGGCACTTTAACTTCAGCATTTGTGTGGCAAAGATTTCAAGCCGAAATAGGGAAAGGAGGAAACAGAGGAGGAAAACTGGAAAACCTAGGATTTTTTTTTTAAGACAAACATATACAAACAAAACATAAAAACGTAAAACCATCTTCCATTTTATATACATACAGTGTGTCAGTTGGTCACAAATCTTTTGTGCTATTCTTTCGTAGTCGTTACAGTTTATAGAAATTTTTACACTGTCAAACAAACATATGCTTATATATTTATCAGTTATTAATTATCCATGACTAAACTATTTATTCCATAGGAAAACCTAGGAAAACTTTAACCTTAGACTGTCTACTATTGACCTCCCCCCTTTCCTAAGAGTAGGGGGCATGCATAAGCGCACCAGTCCCCGTCCTATTGTTTCTTTTATTTCTTTTATGTATCCATGTATTCATAACTATGTTTTTACTTATACCTATTATCTGGTAAGCAATTGACAATAAATAAATAAATAAAAATTAAAAATATGAAGCATAGCTATGACCAACAATGAGGACAATTAACCAGTGGAATAGATCGCCTACTGGGTGGTGGGTACTTCATCACTAGAGGTTTTTAGGAAGAAACTGGACAGCCACTAGTCTGAAATGTATGCTGGGGGGGGGGGGGGGTTGGACTAGAAGATCTCCCAAGGTCCCTTCCAGCTCTATTCTGACTACGCCCGACACAAAGGCATCCCACTGTCACATACATGCTTCAATGGACAGGATTTTGAGTCACTGTACCGGTGTGGAAACTACTGGAAGGTCCTAATAAAATTATTAGCCCGTAAGCAAAATAGAAAGAAGACCAGAAAGCCATCACAGGGTCGTGAGGAGACGCCTTCATGCTGGCGCTCTCCAAACATGAAAAGGAGGAAACAGTATTTGTCAGAAATGGTCTAGACCAGGGGTGTCCAAGCTTGGCAACGTTAAGACTTGTGGACTTCAACTCCCAGAATTCCTCAGCCAGCAAAGCTGGCTGAGG